ATTTTAACAGACCAATTAATGATACTAATAAAATGACAGCATATTTTCTGCTGCTAAAGACAGACCAGGACATCAAATAGCTATAAACATTTTATAGCTTAAAATAATATCAAAGATATGAAAATAATATCATAAAACGTTTTAGAAATACTGCTTTCACACCTTATTATGCCCGGATCCCTTCAGGCTTCTCTAATGAGTGTCACTAAATCTTTATGCAAATAATGCAAAATGGAATCTAAATGGAATCACCCATTTAAGACAATACAACTCTAAATACTCTGAAATCTGATATAATCAACCGATATTAACTGTTTGATTTTTCTTTACTTTCAAATGTTATTCAAATAGAACTGCACTACTGGTCTATTGATATGAATGTAAGAGGGGATCTTTTGGTTTTAATGCTCTTTTGAGAAATTTGAGAGGTCCAGAGTCTGTTGATGTTTAGAATTAATTCAAATGGCAGTTGACTGGGGATCAGATTAAGTATGCATTGTTTAGGTTAATTGCTTTTGCATATCAACTCTTTTGGATCTATTATTTCTATATACTCCAGTTTGATAAAAGTTATATTTTAACATTTTTTTATAAATTTTTGATTTGTTACATGAATTGAGAAAAAATGTTGATCAAAATGATATTCCACATTATAGGATAAACCTCATATACAACCCCTGTTTGGGAATAACAAACCTCTAAATGAATGTGACCTTGTATTATTTAATAATTCATACTCCATATAAATGCTAACTATAAAAAACAATGGCCTATTATAATGCTAAGACAAAAAATATAATATTTCAAATGTCTCTGGTTGCCTTGGAAATGTAATATAAAATCAATTATGATTTTAAGTGTCACATTTTATTACATAGGGCAATTTAATTCCGAAATACAATGCAAGTTTGAATTTGGAATAAGATATAAGGAAATAAGAACCAGTTTAATTAGATGTTATCAATGTTTTAATTGTGATAATGAACATTCTAAACACAACAATCAGTTTAAAAGACAGATGCTATGAGCTCAAGGCAAGGACACAATCTTACAAATTAAAAGTTCAATTTCACACATATTTCACACATCTTTAACAACATCCTATAAAATGTATCATATTTCTGCATTTTAGTTGTGTAAGTAATATAGAATGATTTAAATTATTTAAAACATTCTTCTTGCACCTGATAATATCAAGATTCTGTATAACATTGGAAAGGGAAGTTATGTTAAGATTTGCAAATTGTCCCAAAGAAACTTGGGCATATGGCTTTCACCTTTAACCCCTGGAAGTAAAAAATTCTTGTGAGTGCAATCTAAAATTATAAAACAATGAATCAAGAAAAAACAAGATGAATAACAATAGGAAAATACATGAAATATATCCACAAAGTCAATTAACATTCAAAAGAATTCATCCAATGCCTTTCAATTAAAGCTAGAACAAAACTTGTCCCTAAATGAAATGATAAAAATCTTATTTTTTCCAATGAAATAAGGCACCCAGGCTTAGAGTTAATGGGTGATGAATAAATGTGAGACTTTGATCAGTGGTACAAAGAAAAAACAATGTTCAATTAATGAAGTGAATTAAGATGCGAAGTATACATCAGTTAGTGACCAGGTTGTGATGTGAAGGTATTTGCTGGTGCTGGAGCCTGTGCTGTAGTATGTAACAGTAGTCTTGTTTCAATTAACCCCTTGGGTACTCATCATAACACCTATGATTGAGAAGGTTGTGTGGGGTTAAAACCAGTGACTTGATACAAGACTGTGATAGTAAGTGTATTGTCAGTCAGGAGCACAGCTCATGGACAGTCTGTATAACTGCCCTAGTTTTATGCAGTAGGTTAGGTTTAGTGTTATGCAGCTGGGTTTGCGAGTTTTAATTGTAAGTATAAACATTCTTTTGATCTTCCTATTTGTCCTTTCTTGTTCCGAGATACAGAATGAAATTGTTTTATTCCACTTTGTTTGCTTGAATCACTTTTCCTTTGTTGTATTTCATTATGTATATCATATATGTTGTCTACATCTACAAATGTTATCCTCAAACTATGAATTAAAACTTAAAGGACCATGTGAGGTATGGTAAGTGATTTAAGATGGTCATATCTTCTACCATGAATATTTTGTGGGCATAAATACAGTGATTTTTATTAAAACAGTGTTTTCTTTCAAGTGAAGTCCCCATGATAGTAAAATATCGATCCAAGGATCTTGTTTTTCTCAATTTAAACATCATAAGTTTTTTCTACACTTTATCAACAATTTCTGAAAAGGGGATGGGTATTGAAATGCGCAAAAGTTAAAAACCACATATCCCATGTTATTTTCCAATACGGAAAACTCATGCTATCTATATTTTTTAGTATAATTTTGGTCATCGGAAATTGATATGTTCAAAACTAGACTTTCAATACCATTCTACATTGGAAGAAGTTTTAGATGCCTTGTTGAATAACCTTTTAATGCAATAAAATCAGAAAAGGAAAATCCTCTTTTGACGAAAGGGTCAACATTTTAAAAAAATTGTTTACATGGAGTCCCTATTCATAATAAATTTTCGAAATTGTTCGATTGATATATTTATCATCATGGGGAGTTTACTTGAAAGAAAACATATTGTTTCAATAAAAACAACTATATTTATAGCCAGCAAGTACTCATGGTAAAAGATATAAACAGATGATCATTTTGGAAAAAAATAGTAAAGGTCATAATCGAAATAAATTGATAAATTGTATTCAAATAAATTGTTAAAATTGTTGATAAGATAAAAGCGCAAATATAACAAAAGACTAAAGGTTGTAATGTCTGAGATAGGATGATCTTCAGTCTCCCACATGATTACTGAAATCTAACTCTCAACTTCACTTGTTAATGTTCAGACATTTGATCCAGGATGGCTTTTTTTATAATTGCCAAGAATGAGACATAATAAAGTATATTTTATGGAGTCAATAGCTTGTATCGCATAATGCACTTTTATGATACCCAACTATTTATGAAGTGTTCATAGGGAAATGAGCAAGGAATTGAAAGAAACTGGTTTGGGATCTTCCACCTATTACAAAAGAATCCCCAGAAACAATGCTAATTCATCGTTACTTTTAGCTAAATGTTTACTACAATATACTAAAGTACCTTCTATTGAGTGTAATGTTATATGCACATGTAAACCTTGGAAAATACATATACTGTTCTCCCAGATTATTTCGCGAAAAGTACTGGGAGTACAGTATCTATAATTATCCTGTATTAATGTAATGGAACGTTTTATGAGATTAATCCATTTATAAAATATACCTACACTGTATAAGAAGGAATTTTGCCTAATGGGGACAATAGGCATAACATTTCAGTAAAAATATTGTCCTCTTTGAGAGAGAAGTTGCCACAGTAACCAGGATGAGTGGTCCTGAGTTGTATAAGAAGTTGCCATTGCATACAATGATGATTGTTTTAAATCTATTAATCAATGATATCATAATGAGACTCATCATACTGTCATACTGTTCTGTTCTATATTCTGTCAATAAGTTAAACTGACAAGTTTGTCCCAAAATTATCTGCACTTTGACTACATTTATATTTATCCTATCTTTTGTATATTTTAGTTTGTTTTGTAGTATAGCAATCATATCTGTGTCCTCTTATATTTTGATACTTCTCTGCCATGTTATTTTCGGAAATATTAACATGGCTGAAACTCCCTAAATTACAAAAGGCCACAGCTTTGCTGCACATTATACATTACTATCTGAAATATACAAAAGTTAGGATAAATATAAATGTTTCTATTTTTACATAAACTATTTCAATTTTGTCATTTCATTGCTTATTTTTTAAATTCAAAGTACTCACTAACATTTAAAATTTCACTACAGGCGTGTAGATACTTATTATTAAAATGTACTCTTCCTCCCACTTTTTCTCTTACTTCCAGCTAGCTTTCGACTAGCTTCTATATGCTCCTACTAGGGACCTTAGTCAAACTTGGCAGGAAAGAATTTTTTATCAAGCTCAAAGGTCACAATTTAGGTCAAATCTAATCTTTTTATTAAAATTTATCAAAGCTTGATACTACACTTCAATATTTTTGCATATAAATAGATATAAGTATTCTTTTAGTGTCAGCCATTTGCCATCTAGACAAATTTTGAGATATAGAAGGTCAAAAAAGTTCTTTTTTTCAACTTGCATCAAATTGACCAAATTCCTTTTCAAAAATCATCTACAAAGTCTCAGAAGTTCAAATCTGACCTCAGATTTTAGATTTGACCTACAGTTGACCTTCTCTGACTTTTGAAAGGTCAAAAAGTTGATTTGGGTGTAAATCTTGGTATACATGTACATGTATATAAGATCTATTTAGGTCTAAAAAGTAAAATCTGCAAGGTCAAAGTCATCAAATTAAGTCACAAACAGTGTTATCCAAGTTTCTCAAAGTTCAAGCTTTCATTTTAGCGTTCTTTACCATAAACATTTCAATAACAATCCGTGTCATTATTGTACAAAATATAGACTGTCCATTCTGATGTTGCAAATAAGCCATTTCGGGAGCAAAATTACTTACGTTTGATACCTTAGTGTTCCACTTGGTAGGTGTTCTATTCACAGAGGTTCATTTACATTATTAAGTGTTAGGTAATGGGACTTATACTTATGGTATATGTATTTCACTTATCAGTTATGGCTAGATCTATAAATATTTTTGAATGAGTCAGGATATATATTCCTGTCAAGGTTCTACACACATACATTAGACACAATTTGGGTGATATTAAGAAAAAAACTTTCAGTGGGTTCTGAAAATCCAGTTGAGAATGGATCTAACAAAGGGACATCATTCTTTCTTGGTTTATTTGATAATACAGTAATGTCAATACTATCGACCATAATGCATCATATCACCAGCTGTAACTCGTATGCCTTATATTGCTAGTCAATACCCATTAACAAAAATAAATCTAATATAAGACAAAACAAAAGTTTTGTTTTTTTAATTTTATTTATCATTTCTATATAATATATAACACCAAAAATTACTTGAAATTTTACATCACAATTTGCTTTGACCACTTAAAATATATCTTGGTCTACATACATAGCTTTTACCACATTTTCTAGAATAATCAATACTAATTTTTTATACATCTCTTGATTATTTATCATGTACACCATATATATAATGAGCCAAAAACCACAGTCATGCAGGCTGATTTATACCAGTGTAACATATTAATAATATGGTGCATGGTACATCCACTACATACATATATACCAGAGAAAAAAATGAGCTTATAACGATATGGAATATTTGATTGTTAAAGTATAAATAATGAAAAAATAGTATGATCAGATTCAAAGTGTTTTAAACATTGTCTGAAATAAATAATGTGTAAATCGCATAAATTACAATTGCATTCATATCACCATACCATGATTGGCAACTTATGTTTTACCATACATGATTTATAACCAATCTACCATCAGTTATATATACATGTTATTAAATTTTCTCCATATACTGGAAATCGGTGGCACATTATAGAGGCAAGATTTAACCACTAAACCTGCATAAGATACCTGTCATTATCAATTATGCAAGGCAAATGGCTAATATTACAAATATTACTAAAACTTGATCTGATACTAATTTACTAAATCTACTAATCTACAAAACCTAAGTAATAAATAAGTTAGACTACAGAGTCAAAATGAGTGAATGACATTTTGAATAGCCTACCATTGATTCTATCTACATTACATCCTACAGTAACTTGTTCTCTAACTGTCATATTTTACATTGCATATTTCCGTTATAATTCTTGCATACTTATTTACATTATCATGAAGGCTTTTCCAGATGAATGTTAAATGAAAAATGGAATGACTTTTATTGAAAAAGACAATTCACCAGTCATAAACATTTTCTCAATCTTTTCCAAACAAGAATGTTATATTCTATGTTCTGAACTAAATCCTGTGAGTTTATTCATAAACCAAAATTGCACATTTTCTCATAATTAGGGAAATACAGAAATTGCTTACTCCCGGCATGTAAACAAATGGCACCATCATGAAACATTGCCACTTTTTAACACTCAGTAAGATTACATAAATATATATAAAATATATACAGATACATGTGCTGGGTGTAATAAAAAATTACCCAAAACCTCGAAGTATCTCTGAACTTTTTCAATCCCAAACAAAATGGAATTAAAGAATTTCAGCTATACATTCCAAAAGAAGCAAATACTTAGAAAGTAGCTTCAAATCCAAGCTCTTTGGTAAGCTGTATATGCTGAATCAATTTAATTACATAACAATAAAATATAAATAATCAGGAATAATATAAAATACGAATTAGAATAATCTAAAATCACATAAATTTTCATCACCAAAAGTCTAAATTTCACTAAAAGTGAAAACGACAACTTCTTGTGATGGATTTTCATACACAATACTAATTTTTACCATTCTGTTAACATTTAATGACTAAATTTCACACTCTCAAATCTAATTTAAACAGGTTTATACATATGTAGTTTACTTTAGCTTCAACTCAAACTTTTCTTTACAATGATCCCTCCACCATTTTTTTCTTCCCTCATTTTACATTTTTTTACAATCTACATAATATGTAGGGCCTTATGTGCAATGTACATGAAGCATAGTCTATTTACAAATAATGAAAAAACTTCAAAATAAGTTAAACTTTAAATAATTAACTCTGACATACATAAACTAAGTCATATATAGCAGGAATATATATACTGTATATGTAAAGTGAACTTACAAACTTACACAATGATAACTAGGCCTACCATGAATCCCATTTCACCTTTGTTTGTCTGTTTGTTCTTTACATGTCATTGTGACATATGTTACATCATGCATCACACTTTAAGTCATGGAATTGAGTAGAAAACCAGGTATAAATATAAGAATAATATACTTCTTAAAAGACTACATGGAGTATCAGATTTGAGTATCAATCAACCTAACCATGATGGGCCATAGAGCAAAAATAAGTTGATAGCTTTTAGTTAAGTTGACACAGCAACATAGTTGACACAGTTGACACAACTTGCAACACAATTTCTCATATAGTATGATTGTAGTGTGTACCTGTGACCAATCTCATAATCAAACAGATGAAAGAAATTAAGTTTCTTAAAAGTTGTGTAGTCCAATTTATAAAAAATTATCAAAATAATTCAATTGAAAGATGACCTCAGAGTTATCAAATAATTAGATGTTGTATCCGCTTAAACATTTGATGATTCAAACTCTTTAATAGAGTAGCACTTCAAAAGTGATGTTAAATATAATTTGAACAAGTTGAATAAGGTGATACTGGAATAATTTAAGCTCCTCTTTACTTATAAGTGTCTACTTTTAACTGTCATGGAAAATTTTGAAGATCAAAGTTATGTCGTTTTGGGTACTTTACTTGAGGAATCATGTGGTATGAAGGGTCAAAATGATTTTGTCCACTTCAAATTTGCCCCTTTTTACTTAGATTTTACAAAATGTTACTTTTGGGGTTTCAGCAAAAAATAAGATTTTCATAAGTAAATGGAAATAAGAGTCATAATTGTTTCAAATGGAATTGGAATGTCAGAGAAGCACCAGGTATACCTGTTTATAAGCAATATTTACAGTAATGGAATGGGAAGTGAATATATTGAAAATATATATTATCTTTAAGAGGAACTGTTTGTTTCAAGTGGACCCATATTGACACTGCTAGAGTATTGGACTCTCACTCATGAAATTACAAGTTTTCAACCCAAATAGTTAGACCACTTGGTTGCCTTTATACACCCTTTACTCTTTGACAATTTTAGTCTACACCCTTAATTAATCTTAACCCTGATGTCATGCAGCCATCTGATGAATTATACACGCCCATTTTCTCAATTGCTTTTTTCATGATCTGGAATGTGGTCGATGGAGATGAAATTAGCTTAATGGCAACTTTGCTTGTTGCTATGGTTATACAATATACATTTGGAATGTATATCATTACTAAGCAACCATAATTGTCTACTTTTATAAAAACTACATTGTTTTTCCTGGCTTACAATGTCTTGTTTAAACCACTGATTACATCAAAGAATGTACAGATCACCATATTGCTAGACAATCTACATTTCTTACTTGGAAGCAATATGCAGTACTTGTTTTTGTTACCATAGCAAAAATAATCACAATGAGTTACTATAGCAACTATTGGCAATTTATTGTCCATAAACTTCAAACAACTGTTTAATTACACCATTACATATCGGCCAATTGGTCCATCCAGTTGGGAGATTTGAAATATTCTGGGAGTGTATCATCAAGACGTGCAATAATCTTGTAAATCTGTTTCTTCCAAGACTGTTCCATGTCTTTCCCTTGTTGGATAGATTTGAAGAATTCACGCAGAGTTGCTTGATTCACCAAACGGAAATTATCAGGGACCTAAAGATACATAGAAATAAAATATTGGTTTAAATTGAGTAGATGCAATATTTCATGATGCAAGTTCAAATAGTAGAAAATAGTAAATAAATTAAATTTAAGTTAATTAAATTTCTATTATTTTTCTATAAATGTATCTCACAAACATCATTCTCACACTCAACCCAAACAAAAACATATTACGGTATTACAATTCAAATATCATACCTTGATAACATTTTTAAATGTTCTGATTTGAAATGTTTAATAACTTTGATTGCATTCATACAGTAAGTTATGGCATATTATCTAACAATGTCTGCATGTGAAGGAACGTCCTTTTTATTGCTGTGCTTAGCCTTAGGAATTCAACTCTCCAACCTTATCAGACAATTATATCCTAAATACATGTGATATCATAAAACAATTAAGTTTTAATGATCTCTTTTTTACCTCAAGCCAAACTTAATAATATTTATTGATTGAACAATGAGAAGTTATTATACATCATTTGCATTCATAATCTTTTTCATTAAATCACACATAATTTGTTATTTTGAAATGAGACTTGAGATTTAACAGTTTGAAAACATTAATGAATGCCTTAGGTGCTGTACAAATCCAAGTGTGATGTTAAAAAGATTGCTACATGAAAATCAAAATATAATTTATTATTTTTATAAGGGAATTCTGGCTACTGTAGTAAAAGGGTCCTCACAAAGATCAAAACTGAATGGAGAAAAAATCTATTTCAAATCCATTATCCTGTATAAATCAAGAACTAATGATATACACTGTCTTCTGTTTTGTATAAGAAGCGCAATTTCTCTAGGCGCCAATCTGCTAGGCTCTTAGTGAATTAACCTGAGGAAATCGGTTGTCGTTACGATAAAATGGATTGTTTCCTTATCCGATAACTTCTCCACATTAAGATACCACTCAATTAGTTGAACAAATCTCATCATCTTAGTGGATTAAAAGATGAGTATTCTATAGAGCTATAAAAACACGCTACATTTGAGAATTAATTTCTGAGATTTTTATTAGTTGATTTTTTTTGGCCAGCTGTTGTCTTCAATCAAGATTTTGATACAGAATAAACATAATAATATTATGATTTTATAATATCAAATCAGATTTTGCTTCAGAATCAAGTTAATCCTTTTTAATTTCATAAGTCAATGCAGGTATTGTGCATTAATAGATATACCTGTACTGACTGGATAGTTTATGCATTTTGTTAAAGATCACTCCCCCTTCCCCACCACTCCTTTTACAGTTATTTAATTAATTAGGAGTCCATTCATAGTTCTACATGCTCAATCTAAGGTATTCCTATCAACATTTATTTGTACAATGTATAAACTACATGTCTATGCATTATGTACTTGTCTTTTTTCATCTCACAAGTTTAAAATGGTCACTTTGATCAATTATTAAATGAACTATACTGCAATTTAATTATCCCTTATTCTCACATGTACTTTTTCCAGTGTGGATACTTCATGTAAAAAACTTGACATTTTTGAAAAGGATATCAACATTATCAGGTTATGGTCTGGCAAGTTTGCCTTGGTAATGTATGCAAGCATGAAATTAAAACTGACAGAGGCTTGCTTCAATATTAGCATAGGGTCTTAAAGACATACTTTCACTGGACTAAAATCTATAGTCCTAATTAAACAATAATTAATCAAATTAAAAGGAAATTGCTCTCTAATTTTGCTATTATTTAACAATTAGCAATTGATAGTTTACAGAGAAATCTTCTTTTTTTAAATTTATACTTGTCATGTATAAAAGAGCATGTTGTGATTTGATAGGTATAAAAATTAAAATGACATGTTCACTGAAATGTCCTGCAAAATGATGGATTCAAATAATGATCAATTCTAAATATATTTCATTTTAATCTTTGTAATTTTTGCGTTTCAATATTAAGAGCAAGCAGATGAAAAAAGAATTTGAACAATCAAGAATATGAATACAAGCAACAAGATTGAGAACAAGCTCTTTATAATCTACAAAACCAAATCATTCCATGTTTCAATGTTCTACATGTTATACAACATTTAAAATGGCAATTAGAACTTCAAGCTCATAAAGCCTATTCTCAAGCATGAGTTTCAACTTTAATTTCTTACTTTTGTAGTTGAGTCAATTCCCCTGCATGATCTTGCATAAATAGAAACGATATGGCCACAACATTCAGTAAACCCTCCTAATATTCAGTAAACCCTCCTAATTACTTATATTGATTCTTCGCGTTAAATGTCATATTTGCAATTCTTGTAGCCAATGCTGTTTGATCGAGAGATATTAAGATTGGTGCAAATATATAAAGATTATGGTTCTAATCCTGTCTGTTAATTGACTTTTACGTTAATACATAATAAACACCTTGTCTGTATATATATATATGAAAAACATATAAACAATAGTTAAGATTAGAAATTGTTACCATTAAATGAATTCAAAATTCAACTTCTAAAATCTTTCCTTCAATATTTCATATATTTTCAAAACAAACAATATGCTAGAAATCAATGATATTGTGGCAAAGGAAATGAGTATCTCAGTGGGGCTTAGGTGGACTAAGTTTGAGTCACTTTAGAAGGATTAGAAGTCCCTTGATCCCAGGGATTATTTAAATCTCAATAATTACATAATCAAAGATAGTGTGATTAATTAATGTTGAACTGTATATGTACACAATGGGACTGGTTATTGGCTAAAAGATGCATATAGATAAATACAGGTGGATTATTAGTCGCTACTTAATTATGACACCTGTCCAAGATCATAGCTGCCATTACATAACAGAATTTAGGATTCAATGAGAAAATTTTCCAAGGAAAAGAGAGTAATAGCAAAGGCGGCCCACTCACTTAGACTTTCTAGGAATAGAGAGTAACAGCAAAGGCGGCCCACTCACTTACACTTTCTAGGAATAGAGAGTAACAGCAAAGGCAGCCCACTCACTTACACTTTCTAGGAATAGAGAGTAACAGCAAAGGCAGCCCACTCACTTGCACTTTCTAGGAAAAGAGAGTAACAGTAAAGGCAGCCCACTCACTTACACTTTCTTGGAAAAGAGAGTAACAGCAAAGGCAGCCCACTCACTTACACTTTCTAGGAATATAGAGTAACAGCAAAGGCGGCCCACTCACTTACACTTTCTAGGAAAAGAGAGTAACAGCAAAGGCGGCCCACTCACTGACACTTTCTAGTAATAGAGAGTAACAGCAAAGGCAGCCCACTCACTTACACTTTCTAGGAAAAGAGAGTAACAGCAAAGGCAGCTTACTCACTTACACCAACTCCTTAGAGATCTCCATATGGCGGATTGCTTAAGTGCATTTTTAGATTGTAATTCTTCTGATAAAATAGACATGCTTTTATTTGGTCACCCTGATTTTGATCATAATACTAATATTTTAATAATCAAAGCAAGTGTGTCATTTTTGCAATCCACCAAAGACCTACTGGACCCGTAACCAAACTCTACACATTAAGCACACAACTTGACCATTTTAAATAAAATAATGAATCTTTCTTTCTAAAGTAAAAATTATGAATGTAACTACATTAAGGTTTTCAGTTTGACAATAATGTTATTTTTAACCTTGTCAAACGTTATTATTGTATTATTGTATGTATAGTATATATTTGAAATAAATGATTATTAAAAAAAAACAAACTCACTTACACTTTCTTTCAGCAGGAGAAATATTATTGAAAAATGGAGATTCACTGGAAAAAGTAGACACAAATGCAAAAGATTTGGCATTTAAAAAATAATAATTTCTGATATTTCTTTTATTGAAGTTATACTTTTATTTGTTGTTTGCTCTCCTATTGTTTGTCTAATCATTTTATTAAAGTTCCAGAACAATGTGGCTTTCAACAAATCATTTAGCTAAAGTTCAACAGATTGTGACATTCGCGGTATGTCTTTACTAAACGTGACTTCTCTCTGGAAAGGTCAATGACTAGGAGTTGCTCATGTTCTATGTCTCCTGCAATCTAAAACATGACTGTACATGTAAACACATGTGCACAGAAGACCTTTTGTGTATTGACTCTGTCAAATGGTCAAACCACAAATTGTGACTTACTATTTCAAATCCAATATGCTGATATACTGGTGTAATTTCTGTATTGTCTGTCTCTAATTGATGCAGTCTGCATGATGTGTTACAAAGGTGATGTGTTTAAAAGGCTAAAGAACAAGTTTAATGAGTGCAAAGTATGTCCAATCAAAGACTGGTGTCCCCTTCAGAAAGAATAGTATTATACATATTTCTAAATGCCTAGATGGGCCTATGGTATGGGAGGATCCAAAGCCTAAGATGTTGTAGATACAATGTTGCAGTTAAGCCACAGAATACCATTAATACGATCATTGGAGAAATAATTGTTACCAATAATCAGGTGAATCAAGAATTGTTCTAATAAGCCACAGCCACATCTTTTCATTTGTCTCTGCAGCTTTTGCTTAACAAACAAACCAACCTTAGATGTAAAACTTTTATTTACCATAATCAACAAACAAGCATATTGTCATATAAAACACTATTTCATTGACATAGACATTTGCTCATGTTGTCTGAAATAGATAAATGCTTAATATAATATTATTAAAATAGAATACTGCATACATGTAGACATGATCAAAGATTTCCAGATGGTTCCAATGCTTAACATATTTATCTACACTAAAATCATACTCAAGATAATAAACTGCAAATAACACATACAGAAATGATGTTTTGTTGATGTCACAAAAGACTTCTAATAGAATATTTCACCTCCATGAGTTGACAACAAGAAGGAAATGCATTCATTGAAAGACTGGGGAATGTTCCTCAAAAGGGAACTCTAAACTCCTGCAGGCAAGGCGTTTCATAAAGTAACAAACTATTACTCAATTATGACAATGGTTATAACTTCAAAGTCAAAATAGAGTGGAAAATAGTGAAATAAGTGAGGATTAAAGTTTGATGTGATGAATAAATCTT